TAAGTACACATAAGCCAGCACTCCGGCCATACTTTACTTTAACTTTATAATGCATGAAAATCGACATTACAAACCCAACTAAGAAATTCTCTTTTTAAATGAAACCATATTTCAGAATTTCCGTTTGTTTCATAGCACACGCCACCTACCGCGTGTCAGAGCAGGCACACGCGCTCTCATCTACTCCTTTCCTTTTTAACGGTATGATGGCATGGCGAAAGTCAGATTTTAGAGAGGGGTGCAGGGAGGCGTAGGAAGGATGAAAACGATTTTTAGGGGCTGAAACAAAGCCTACAGTCGCTAGGCTAAAAGGTTCGAGAAAATCATGAAGAAAAAGACAGAAGCAAACCTAAGTAGTTAGGGATAAAAGGTCCTCGACAACAGTTCTCAAGGTATAAACCGCAGCAAGGGGCATCGAGCTTCCGCTGGACACGAGGTGGTGCTTTGCAGTTAGCGGATGCATTCAAGTTTTGCATTAAAAAAAAAGTACAGAACACGAGGAAATCGGAACCAGAATAACAATAGACGCACACGCAGCATATTTTCACAAGGATGTACGCGAAAACACGTTGACGGCCCACAGTCTGACGGACTAAAACAAAGCGTCACAAAAGAACCAACGAGACGCAGTTGAACTATGCTCTACGATCAGTGGGCCCTTCGACTGGAATGGTTAGACAGGGCAACTCCTAGGTTGAAAAAACCGTAGCGCAGAGAGAACCATTCAAACAGTCCCGAGGGCTAGGGGCTGACTCGCAACTACAAACGAGTACGCTGAGCACAAGTATACGTCACCGTCAAGGCACGGGTCTGCATTTTAGACGGCCGGGTCCATGATCTAGTCGACTTCTAGGGTTGTACTGAACCAGACCCTTCAAGCTCATTCAGTTTATAGGTCCAATATGACGTGCTCCTAATATCGTAAAGAAATCAGCCGGAAATACACTTGTAGCTCGAGTTTGAAATTATTCGGAAATCGACTACTCTTAAAACCTAATGATACTCTTTTTTCAAGTTTAAAATTTAAAGAAGACACTATTTTCTAACAAAAAAATACGAGCAAAATACTTTGTGAAAATCTTTTAAAAATAAAATATCACTGAATTTATAATGGCATCGAAAATCAATGAGACAAATAAAATTAATTATGCAGCCATTTTTTACCGAATGTGGGTTTTACAGTCGGCCGGAAAGGATCTAATTTAAATTGTAACATCCTGGCGTTACTGAAATAACTTGGGATTATGTTGCACGATAGCCAATATTACAACCTCACCTAAGCAATTCTGTCTAAACTAAAATAAGTAACGGAATTCCGGTTAACATTTCATGAGTTGGGCTAGATACTGTACAAGAGCTTTATACACTATGCGCCGAATTGCGAAGGTTTTGTTTAAAGTCCGTACTGACATCAAAGCTACACGAGGGCTACATTATCTGCCAATGTTCAATAATGAAATATTAAACCTGTATTGAATGGAGTGGAACATAATCTTACTGAGGATATGCAAACGATATACCCGCAGGCCCTGTAGCGTTAATAAAGGGCAAGGAACCAATCACATTTGACCTATAAAATCGAGAAAATGTGAGTCTCACGGGAACTGATAAAACAAATTTAGTGTCTGATAGTAATCCGTTAAATATTTGACACTAAGCTCATGGAGTGGAACTATACACATTATTCGGTTGCCAACACTGCGTAAGTTCTTTGTCGGTAATTATCAGACTAACTATTAGTATGGTTTACCTAATACAAGCCAAATTATCTAACACTTTTGACACTTTTTCTCTTTCCCATCAAGACCTTCGTTATATCGGAGTATGCTAAGTGAATACTAATCCTAATTGCCAAACACACATGCAACGTGTGTGGTCCTCCTTATTAACCTATTCCCATTTGCAGGCAGGCTTCTGACGAACACTGATTTGATTAAAATTCTCAACTTTTCGACTTGCGTAACTTCTTGACTAATGCGGCCGTTTGAAAGTTCCCTTTTGTTGCGGAGAGTGCATTAATCAAAGACACTCCACCCTAAACACCTTCGTCTTTCAAGTTAGAAGTAGAGTCAGCTAATTGTACACTTTATTCGCAGCATACGCATACAGAAGGCGGAGGTGTGGTTCCTGGTTGGGATTGTACATGCTGCCTCTAAAAATGACAGTTTTTGTAAACATGACAAAGTGTGGAATTTTGAAAATTGCATGTTCAGCAGAGGCCTTACAAATGCGAAAAGGCATACGAAATTTTGGACGTTGAGTGGGCTACATTCATATGCATGGTCGTGACCGTTTGGACTGCATGTGGGGAACGAATTCTGGACGTAAATAAACCAGAAATCCGTGTAGTAGGGTACAGAAAATAAGCATTTATATGTAAGGTTAGAATGTAATGTAAAAGCTAGATGTTCACCTTTGACAGACTGGCTGTGAATAGTACGCATTCGTAGATGTCAGCCATCGCCTGAAGGAATTCATCAACGAACGGTCGCTTGAGAACATATACTTGGTGGATACTTCCATCTATCTCCACACCCACACGAAAGTCCGCCTTTTCAACAGCCTACAGTCAAGTAATAAAAAGGAACACATGATAAAAAAGAGCAATGCTCCATGCCGCAGAAATATAAATGGCACTCGCAAAAGCCCGCAAGTAGACTAGTCAACAGACCTATTGTAGAATTAACTATACAGAAAGCACAGATATTACCTAAAAGTCCAGACATATGTTGCGTCGATTTTCTGTCACCATGTGACACAGCTGCGAGGACTTTTAGCTCATACCTGTGCTATCAGTATTGTTAATGATAAAATACGTCTGTACTACAGGCAGTTTGTTGGCCGTTTATGAATTCTATGCGGTTATTCTGTTGTAATAATGTTCGCCCTTCCTATTCCTCAGGGAGACGGGCGGATCGATAGAATAAGGTTCGATGTATAGCGCATAGTTCATTCTCATGGAGTCCTGTGGGGTTAGAAGACTAACTTTTCCACTCCTACCAAAGGAGTCAGGATTTCAAAATAAAACGATTTCTACGTGCTTCTGAAGGCTGAGAAGGCATTACATGGTAAAGAATGGAAGTCTCAGGAAAAGGCTAATAAAGGTCAATCGGTTGCAGGAAAATTCACCTTGAAGGAACTGTGCACGAGAGTTTCATCTAGATCGATGATGAAACATTTTTTGTTACGGTCGCTTTCGCGAGGAGGCCCCAGAAGCGTAACTGAGTGCTAAAATAAGCAAATGTCTTCGTCACACACCACCTACATAAGTATTACAATAGGAAGAAAATAAGCAAGATTGATAGTTCAAGTGTAAATATGGTGTCAGGTTGATGAAAAAGTCCTAGAAATAAATGTTGGTGTTGTTGTCAAGCTTTCTTGCATCGAATAAAACAGCAGCAACTGGTAGGAAGTTATTTTCAGCATCAGAAACGAGCCTGAGTTTCCAAACCTTGTTGAGATTAGTCCATGACCTAGAGCATGACATTCCTCCCTGGGGCGAGTACGTCGCATATTTTTTTTAACTGATATGCATAAAAACTACATATTTGTAGTGAGTTCTGGTTGTGATTGAGAAAGCAATATTACTCGTTTACATAATATTAGCAGGGAAGTCTAACCCGATAATCTAGGTAAGTTTTCTCAGTATGTGAAACGATAATGCCAATTAGCGTATCTTGGTTTTACAACGCTTTTGATTGTTTAAGAAGATGGGGGAAGATGAATAGACTCTGTAAGGCCCTTGGGCTATCAACTTCTAATAGCCTTGTGGTTGACCATAACGGTTGGTTCACGTCCCTCAAAGCAAAATAAGAGTTTGAGACATCTGACTCAAGGGTTGCAAGATGGTGGAAACTGAGGTTCATTTTCGAGAAGCATTTTTACGTTTGTTCACGTTTAAAGTTGATAGTTTTCTCTATCTCCCTCAGTTCAATTTCACCCATGAAGTTTAAGTCGTTGTATAGGGCTAAATGATTTCCATGACAAAGAGCCAAGAAATTTAAGTATCAAAGTGACACAATTTTTGATGCAGACGCGTACGGAAGATCATTACGGTAGAGACGATAATACTGGTGCTATGGGCAATAAATCGAGAAGAATAACTGAAGTAGCAAGTTATTACTAAGGTAAATATAAAGAATGCGGTGGTCTACAATGAGCCTTGCCAAGATTGTGGGGCAAGGTACGTTGGCGAAATAGACAAACGTCTCGGTACAAGGCTAAACAAATACCAGCTTGCAATCAACCACAAGGATAGGCTGTCCACGGTATACGGCAGGTGCAACAGCTGAAGCACGATATCGCCATTGAGAAAGCGAGAGGTATCGGTAGAGCCAGTGATAAGATGGCCAGGCTAGTGCTCGAAAGTTGGTCCTCGACGAGCACACTAAACTGAGCCATCGACTTAAACCTTGCTTACCAGGTGCTCCGCACGCACAAGAACGTGGCAATAGGGCGGGCGAAAGAAGACACGCAGGACCGACAGCCGGCAC